CCGCCGCCGCTGCTGCTGCTGCCGCCACCGCCGCCGCCGCCGCAGTCGAAGTCGTCGTCGTCGTGGTCGTAGTAGTAGTACTAGTCCTCGTCGTCGTCGTCGCTGAGGCCTCCGCCACCCACCCCTTGAACGTCAGGGCCGTTGGAGGCCGTGAACGATACGTCCTCGTCCGGGTTTGCGGCCAGCGGTCCGTACAACAGCCACGTAAACCAGTACGGAGGGAGAAAGTTCTCGGGTAGCTCCTTGTTGAGGAGGTCGTCACGGTTCGGGATAGTCGGGATCGTGATCATCTCGGCTAATCTCGGGTTTTGCGTCTGGCGCTTCTTCTGCAGCGCCTCCCTCCGTTTTTTTTCGACCTCTTTGATCTTCCTGTTGGCAGCATCTTTGACCTGGTCCTCCCACACCTTTTCGATGACCTCCATCATCACGTCCCCGTTCTGTTCTCCAGATCTCGGCTGCCCCTGTTCGTTTGTCGCGCTGCACATGTGTGTACAATCGACGACGAGGACACAGGGGANGAGGAGGTCGTCACGGTTCGGGATAGTCGGGATCGTGATCATCTCGGCTAATCTCGGGTTTTGCGTCTGGCGCTTCTTCTGCAGCGCCTCCCTCCGTTTTTTTTCGACCTCTTTGATCTTCCTGTTGGCAGCATCTTTGACCTGGTCCTCCCACACCTTTTCGATGACCTCCATCATCACGTCCCCGTTCTGTTCTCCAGATCTCGGCTGCCCCTGTTCGTTTGTCGCGCTGCACATGTGTGTACAACCGACGACGAGGACACAGGGGGGCGCTGCGTACAATGAGGAGGTGCCTCCAAACCTACCTCGCGAACAAAGACAGATGCAGCCGAGAACCCAGACCAAGATTTAACAGAGCGTATANAATACACCAACCTCCCCGATTTTTGGACGAACAAAAACTCTAAAAAAAAACACCACAACGTCGACCGTGGCTCCTGAGCAATACGAGCATGCCCCCGGATTGTGAACTACACCACCAACGTCGCCCAAGGTTTTAATTGGCATTTCAACCAGGAACCGGTAACGCGGGATATAACCAATGTCGGGCACGTGTACCCTCAACTACAGTAGTGCGTGCGCCGACCCCGCTCGATCACGTCGCTCATTGTCTTCCTGGTCCAAAAAGACAGGTCGGGAACAAACAAAACCCTCGGATGTTTAACGTACCTGTTATAGTGCACTGTGTAGTTCTTCAGTTCGCGCCGCTGCTCCTGGCCCCGCATCAACACTTGTTTTAAGTTCGGATGAGCTGTGCTTCGCTGCGTACGAAAACAGCGGGCAGACACAGAGACACAGG